CAATGGGGTTTAAATGTAAAAGTGAAATTGATGGTGTTAAAGCATGAATTTCAATCATGCTAAGAAAGAAGATATTGATGGGTGCTAGCAAGGGAGTTCTGGACAAAAATACGGCAAGGGAGAAGCTGAAAGGCTGATTGTTATAAACCCGGTGTCTCTGTTTTATTGGGTTACAGAGCTACCACACATAAAAAGACATCGGTCCATGTTGCATAACTCAGGACGAGGTGAATTTGTCCTTGTCAGTATTATGGCGACCGTCTCCTTCCTCCTCGCTGAGGTGGGACTTCATGGAAAAATCTTCAAGTCTTTATTCAGCTTTTTATCTGAGATTTAAGGTGTACCTTCTCATTAATCTTTGTAGTCAGGGTGATTTCTTGTGGCTACAGACTATTGTGCTTCTTGTAAAAATCATACCTTTCTAATTACAGTGCAGCATTCTGTCTGAGACTGAGTCTTTACAGAGCAGTAGAAGAGACACTTTGTACTGTACAAATTATAAAGAACATGGTAACTCAGAGTTAGCAAAACTAATGAGGAAGAGGTAAGGCTGTTTTGCAGGAGCTTAATGAGTTGGATTTTAATTTCCACAGCAGATAACCGGAGCTGTGAGCAACCTTGACACAAATGGAAAACAGAATCATGAAGTGTTATGTGGTCCATTGAAGCACCTCTGGCACAACTATTGCACTGACCCCTGCTTGGATCAAGACAAACGTCCACGACAGAGTTTCTCTGGGGTTGTGGTCAGCTTTCTCCTTGCCTGCCTCTGCATGCCCTGTATCCTAAGGCTTAATACCATTACCAAGAATTAGGCAACTTTGTGAGAAACACAGCCATATTTTGGGGATCTCCACATTTATCTTGGGTTGCAGACAACTGAAAAGGCTTGTCTGGTGTCTTGATTTATTTGTATTTGTGCTTCCATGACAGCAGTGTGCTCTATACCTGTTTAATTGGTTTAAGTCAAATTTAAACACTAAGCAATCTTAAAACAACAGAGCTTACAACAGAGCTGTGGTCTTGATAACAGAATTATAGATAAGGTTACAAAGAAGAAAATAAAATCATAATGTTACATTTCAGACTATACTCTACAATAGAAGTCCTCCTTAGCTTCTATGGTATTTTCACTACCTGGAGGGAGGGAGGAAGGGCAGAGAAAGGGATGGTGTGTCTCCAAGCACCTCTTTCTGCCTATCTTCAAAATAGAAGCCCTTCTGCCTTCCCCATCTTAATGTTTCCAAGCCTCCTGCATCCCTGAAAAATGCTATCCCTCCTAGCTTTAGTGACTTTCTCACAAAGCAGAATATTTGTTGCAAGACTTTCTCAGTCATGTCCCATAAGCATAAAAACAGGATGGATTACAAACTTAGTATTCAGAGTGTTCTTTCTAAATAAACTCCTTTTCCCACCTCCTATTAGTTTGGTATCCCTGCTGCCATAACATCTGCCCTGTGGTTTAAGTCCCAGTCCCGGTTTCCTCCATCTACTGCTTGCTCAGCCTAAAGTGGGAGAAAAATGCCTATAGGATCAGTATGTTCAAACCATTTGAGGAAAAGAGCATGACAAGGTGCCAAAGAAATGTTAGTGACTCACAAAGGTTCCTAGCAAGCAACAATAATAATGTGTATAAAGTGGATTTTTATTCAAGATTTCCTTAGGCAGCCCCTTTCTTATCAAAAGATACCATTTTGTGATAAAAATCATTATGTATGTTTAGCAAAATGTTTCCATTGTACTCTTAATAAAATGTCTTCTTCCCCTGAAAGTGTTTTGAGATGAATGTATACTGATGTGCGAACACATGGTTTTATCTTCATAGGAATTTGTTACGAATAGTCTTTGAAAGCGTCTGTCTCAAGCTGCAGGTTTTCCCATTCAATCTGCACTGTTTGTGTTTATCCTCTCGCCAGCAGCATCTGCAGCCAAGACTTTCTGCAGAGTCAAATCACAGCATTTTGAATGGAATGTAAAATCCTTAGTGACGGACCTCTTCAGTAGACTAGATGTACCACTAAATAAAAATTGACTGATTTTGTTTCAAGGAAATGGTGACATACATTTCAATATGAACCCAGCCGCCTATCTGGCCCTGTAGTTGTACTCAGTAGTGGTAGTCCTACTTGTAAGTGTACTGTGGTGACGGTTTGAAATCTTAGCGGTATGGCTGGATCCTGTTGGATAAAGCCACAACCAATACCAGTCCTAAAAACTCTGAAATCTGTATTTTACTTTAACAACTAAGAAAGTGAAATCTTCTCCTCTGACTATACAAAGGAATGGTCATATACAACTGCAAATTAATTGCCTGTAAAGGCAAACCTGCCTGGTTATGCGCTGTCATGGTTAAGGATTTAACCCAGAGTGTCCCAGCATTGCAGACTGAGTCTATGTTAAATTACGTTTAATATTTTCAAGTTTGCAAGATAAGTAAAAAGATATAAATAAAATATTACAAAATAAATAGCTACTTCACATAGCAGCTCCTATTCTTATTTACTTAATTGCAATAGTAATGATGATGATATACTGTATTGCTGTGGAGGCTACAGTTAAGGGACTAGGGTCTCATTGCACCAGGACTTGACAAAATGAATCAAAAATATGATCCTTTCAGCAAAGCCATTGCCAGTGCATCAGTGGAAGTGATTAGTTAAGACAAGTGTCTAACTTGTAGTTCTTGAGCTGCATGAGGCTCACAGAAGATGTAAGCGTGGTGCGAACGTGGGACTTGCCTGCAGTGACTGATGGCTGGATGATGCTGGCAGGAGGGCTGGTCTGTAACCAGCATCCCTGGCCAGAGGAGGAAGCCTGACAGCAGAGCCCATTGCAGCCGCGCTATTTGGCTGGACGGTGACACAGCTGCATACTCATCCTGGTCTCATTTGGGCTAGAGAGGTGGCCGGGGAGCCTTTTTCACTGAAGAGATATTTGTCTCCATTAGTACTTGAATTTCGTAGTAGGTTCCCTGTAGCTCTCACAGCTCTTTTGCTTGTCATGTGTTCTTTGTGTTTTAGGCTTATAACTTGGGTAATATTCAGAGAATGTAAAGCTAGGGGACTAAAGTACTTATTTAATTTATAAAGACATGCAAGCATTTCTCCAAGGTTATTCAGGGCAGCTAAATTAGCTCCTTAACAAGCTTTGTGTTAATATATTCCTGACTTTTTGTCTAAGTCCTGTTTATTTCATGTGAGTTTATTCAGCAAGTGGAATAAAACCTGTTTTGAGAGTCTGCCAGCATCTAGCATATCTGTAGCTCCCAGGAGAAGGAAATGTAGATGCCCAGGTACATCTGCAAATGGGAACGCGTATACAGTAGTCCATCTGGATCCTGTACTAACAGATTATTGACAAAGCACTCATGCATGTAGACCATGAGCAACCCTAATACTGAGGGAGCACTCTGAAAAGTGAGAGATGGAAAGACAGAGACCATGAATAAAAATAAAATTCTAGACCTTTTTATCTGTGTTGCTTTATCACTAGGTATGTTTTCAGAGAAAGACCTTGGAATTAATTAGCAGACTTTTCTTGCCCAAGCTTGTTTATGATATGAAGATTATTTACATTTCTATAGAAATCATTAATAATATTCAACCTGAAAATTACCAGTTTGTCTAAATAGGGTAAATAGTAATACATGTTGAAAACCACCTGACCTAGCCTAACTGGTTAATTCACAAAGCTGTATATCTCGTGTATGAATGCCCATTTCATCCCCTTTTCACTGCTCACACGTGCATGTACACATATACACACAGAATCTCAGTTACAGCTTTCCTCTTGGGATGCGTTAAAGTAAATGGAAAGCTGCTGCTTCTTCCAAAGCCTCTCATTCTGCATTCTTGAGAGAGGCAGAATTAAACGGAGGGGATGGGATAGAAATATGGAAGGCAATAGTAATAGTATGCATGTATTTAAACCTAAAGCCTTCTTCTGTTAATTCAGATGTTCAATTTAAATTTGAATAGAGATTAATAAATTACACAAATTATAACACTTTGGACTTGGGTGTGGGCCAGTGGTGTTATATATAAGCTGTGTTGAGCTTCTGGAGCTTCAGCATGCTCATTCATATTCATCCAGTGCTAACCAGAGAAATAATAGCATTATCACCTAGTTCCGTAATCAAATAATGGGAAACGGATCTCCAGGAGTTTTGACTGGAATGGAAAGTAGTTTCTTGCTGTGTTTATTAGCTGGGATACTAAGGACTCAGCTGTGGTGAGTTAATGAGTGATATTTTAATGAATTTCTGAATCTGGATACAGAAGCATCCTGATGAAAGTAGAATTAGCTGTTTCAGTCTCTCATTGGCTTACCATATCCCCTGTATCTTATTAATTTTTTTGTCTTTGCAGTTTAGTGCCTTGCACAGAATGTTGACTGGCATGCTAGCTGAAGTATTGCTGTAGTTCTTGAATATTATTAATTATGATATTTCTTCAGTGGAAATGTATTAGGGGGCTATTAGAGGCGTATGTTAATTGTGTCTGTATTGCTTAGCTTTGTTTATTGGATTTTTCCTGTGATATATATTAATAGACTTCTAATAGACACGGCCACATTTTCAGAAGAAATGCGTGTAGCTGTGTAGGTCAAATTTGAAGACAGGTAAGTTACACATGAGGCAATGTATGAAAGCAAAACATGTGCCTGAGGTGAGGTAGTCACCAAATTAGTGTTTTGCCCATCTGTCTGATCACCCATGAATTCAGTGTTACTATACTAAACATGTAGTAGCAACACATTGGAGTATGACTGAATGTGATAAATTAGGAACTTGAAACTAAATGTACCATTAACTTGCTCTGCCTTCTGAAACTCGACATGTCGTATCCAGAAAAACAACAAGGAGGTAGTAGAATCAAGGTGTGCGGGGTTTTTTTCAGCATAGACCACACTGTAGCATATATTGACATGAAAATCTTCAACTTTTTGGACAGCTTCAAGGGAGCACTGAAACGTGCATATTTCCTGTCTGTCCCATGCAGGGAATTACTGGAACGCGGCTTCTTTCGTCACTTCATCATCCTACCTTCACTTCTCCACCTTCCAAGGAGAAACCAGCGCAGACATCTCTTTCTATTTCAAAACATCGGCCTCGGACGGGGTGTTTCTTGAGAATCTGGGGAACACTGACTTCATCAAACTAGAGCTGAAATGTAAGTATGTGCTTCTCGTCACTCTTCTTGGCACCTGAAGTGGGTTTGTGTCAGAGAGCAGGTTTCAAGGAATGTGTATCATTCAGTAAAGTGTGTAAGCTCACTAAATTCAGGAAAAACTTCCAAATCAAGCTGCTTGACATATTTTCAAGTTGCCTTACGTGGGAGGAGCGCTTGAGGTATATTTGGATTGTTTATTGAGGGGAGAAATACAAAGAAGGCTAGAACTGGTAACATCAGTTATAAAAATGACACTGACCTGAAAAGATTTTTCAAAATTGCATGCCAGATTTATTTCTTTAACGTGTATGTCTGCAGCTGTGTATGCTTTTCTATTTTATCTCACTGTTGTTTGGAAATAGGGGAAAGAAAAAAAAAAAGAGAGGAGAGAGCCAGAGAGCTGTAAGGAGCCAGAGAGCTGAAAACTTGCATATGATATTTAAAAGCCCTAAAAAATCTCATAGAAATAAATCTTTATCAGTATTATCTGTTAATAAAATCGCTGATCCAAAAAAAGAGGGCATAATGATATCAAGAAGCAAGTTAATTTTATTATTTAAACCATTTTTAATGGCCCAGGGGCAAACTTTCCAAGGAAGATGAGAAGATCCTCAGCTGTACCTGAATTCTGCTTAGTGAAAGTGAAGCAGTTGAATTAGGGGGGGGAAATGTTTTATGTCTCCTTTGTTCTCCCTCGACCCAGTTTACCCTGTTATAAACAGGAGGGATGACAGGCCTGCTGTGCTACATGTGGCTGTTATTACAGCCTCAAGTGGCACATTACAAGCAGCAGGGTTACATGAGTACAGCAAGCTGCCTTCCTGCACTCCAGCACCAGGAAAAGCATTTGTGCTTCTGTTTGCTGCAGGAGCTACTCGTGAAAGCAAAGAACCCAGCTCTAAATATTGATGCACAAAAGTCAGCATCAGAAGTCACTAATGTTGAAAGAGAAGAAATCATTTGCATACCCCAAATAATCAATTTTTATGCAGATTCAGTGCGATTTACATGCACACATCTAATTTTAAAACAAAAAGCCATTTTTGACACTTCCCAAAGTCTAAATACACAAATTAGAACGTGGAAATTTAGAAACCACCAGGAGGCCCCTCTAAAACGTAACTAAATTTCCCCTTCAGGTAAGAGTAAAGTGCCAAGTTCCAAGTGGGTGACAGCTTCTTTCCCTCTTTCTACAAGGAATTTAGTGGATGTTGCTTAATCCCAATTTTCTGTAATCTGCAACTGGTGCAAATCAAAATAGCTCCTATTGAGTCACAGGGAGTAGTCTCATTTGTATTACCAAGGGGCACAGCCCTTTAATAATTAAGTGGCAGCTATTTCTAATTTCACTTTGAACTTAAGTAGTACTTACAGTCAGCTGAGGTGGGCATCTCTGGAGCTTCTTGTTCTTCTGAGGTATGGAAGGTGTTCTCAGCTGTTGCAGTTATCAAACCAGCCATGCTGTTCGCTTAGCTAAAACATGAATAAAGGTGACTTGGCAGTAACTGTAATTCTTTTGAACTCAACAGTTTAAGTAATAATCATGCTGCAGTGGCTCACTGACTAGATGCACCCGTTCAAGAAAGCATGTGGCAGTGTACCCAGAATATCATTAAACAGGATTTTGATTTTAAGCCTATGCTTGAGATCCACTGACTTTGCTGTGATTTGGCATATGTATCAATTCAACTTTAGCCTCATGTCCCTGAATCTAAACCTTAGATTACAAATTCTCAAATGGTAGAAATGGAAATATCATCGGTAAAAACAGTCTATAAGGTCAAATGTACTATTGCTGTTTAAAGTAGTGAAAACTTCTTGATTAAAATTATGCTGACTGTATTTGCTAAAAAGGACAAAGCAGTTCATTTGATAGAATTGCGTTCACTCTGCCCTTTCTTTCCTGGAAACTATTGCTTGAAATTTTCAGAGCTCCAGAAAATAGGCCTTTCTATGACTTGAATGTTCCAACAGTCATAGCTCAAAAAGGGTTGAATACTGTGCTTTTAGTAACAAAGAGAAACTCATTCTCTCTTCTGAATTACACATTTATTTAATGAATGTTTGTTTTATACAGTTTTCATGTTTGTTTGTTCCATTCTAGTCTGCACTTACGTTTTGTTGGAATTCATTCAAATGAAAAGTAGTTTCAGGATTTCAGAAGTTCCTTACGTGACTTACAATAGACCTTTCTGCTTCTTAAAAGTTTGCTTCCCCTTTACAGAAGTCCCGTAAAATTAATATTTGAATTTGTTTCTTAACAGAAACATAAAGTTAAGTCAGTAAGGGAATTATAGAATTGCCCCTCAAGAAGGTTTCCTTTGGCAAGCTGCTTTCCAGCTAACCTCTCAAATTCTCTAGTAGAACAGCTATTTTGTATTAAAGTTTTTTGCATAATGGCTGTCATCACATATTTACTGCAAGCTGCTGCACTTCAAACAGTGGGTGCGTTGCTTTTGTCTGTTCGTTGCCTTCTCACACAGGTACAATTCTCATTGAAGAAGAATGACTTCCTATAAAACCTTTCCTTGATATCTTTACTTTTTACAATTCCAGAAGGAAAATGTTGAAATCAGTGTTCTGCCAGCAGACACTGCAAATTGTTTATTCTTCTTCCCTTATGTGTGAAATACCTGTGTATACCTGTAATATATGGTTATTGAAGCATAAGCTTAGCTCTACCGACTAGGAACTGACAGGGTCTGCAATATCCAGTATTTTAATCAGCTTGCTGCACTTGGTGAATGTATTAGGGAAACGAATCATTTGGTCTATAAAAATTCTTACCTTCAGGTCTTTGGAAAGGAGTTTGCTATTGCGTGTTTTATTCCGAGCACAAGAGTTGTCACTAGGAATACTCCTTAAATTATTTTATTGGTGTGCTGTCTTGGAGCTTCTTAAGGTCTAATAACTGCACAGATTATTTTCTAATCCTCTAGATTTATAAGAAAAGGAGGTGGAATCTTGCAGTATGTTGAAGAGTAACTTCATGTCTCTTCAGCAAAGCCCAAGACTGCCAACTCTGAGGAGAGGGGGAATACAGGAAGGAAGGGAAGAACATGTTTCTCTGATACAAGAAATAGCTTTTCCAAACAGCTGACAAGGAGGACTGTCATGAAGAAAACAGTGATAAAATGTTACTATGAATGTGGCTGAAGTCTTTGGTTATTCCATTTATCAAGCAGCTCCTCTGGCAGGCTTGTACTTGTCACCATTCATGGAAGAGCTGGCAGAGATGTAGAATTACTTGAAGCCTCAGTTTTTACATACATCAGCAAATTTACAGAACCCCATTATTTTTATAGCTGGCTGGTCAGCTGGCAACAGCTAGGATTGCTTAGAAAGGAGGTAGTTGGATAAGGTATAAATTTTTCTGTAAGGCAGTGCAACCATAGGTCTCTGGTCAAAACTTCCAAATGTTTTTAAAATTACAAATGTTTTTAGAGAGAAAAAAATCAATGTTTTCTTTTTTAGAGCTTTCCTATACGGTTTCAGGAGGGTTTAACCTAAAATCCAGTCGTCTTATAAAAACACCATTGAGAACACCATTTTTTCATTTACACTAGCCCCCTTCTTTAATCTTGACCTACCTTTTAAGACCAAGAGGTATATAACCTGCTGTCTACAAAGCCTACCCGGGCTGTCTCAGGCAGTTCCTTGTCAGTGCCTTTCTGTCCTGGTTTCAGTTGGGATAGAGTTAATTTTCTTCCTAGTAGCTGGTACAGTGCTGTGGTTTGGATTTAGGATGAGAATAATGTTGGTAACATGCTGATATTTTAGTTTTTGCTAAGTAGTGCTTACACTGGTCAAGGACTTTTCAGCTTCCCATTCTCTGCCAGGTGCACAAGCTGGGAGGGAGCACAGCAAGGACAGCTGACCCAGACTGGCCAAAGGGATATTCCATACCATATGACGTCATGCCCAGTATATAAACTGGGGGAGTTGGTTGGGGGGCAGCGATCGCTGCTTGGGGACAGGCTGGGCATTGGTCGATGGGTGATGAGCAGTGGCATCACTTGTTTTTCCTGAGTTTTGTTCCTCTCTTTCTCTCTCTCTCTCTCGTTGTTTTCCTTTTCATTACAATATCATTATAATTATTATTAATTTTACTTTATTTTATTTCAATTATTAAACTGTTCTTATCTCAACCCATGAGTTTTCTTACTTTTTCTCTTCAGATTCTCTCCCCCATCCCCCTACGGTGGGAGGGTGAGCGAGCGGCTGTGTGGTGCTTGGTTGCCGACTGGGGTTAAACCACAACACTTCCATAAAACCAATCCACCAAAAAGTTTGCATATAATTTTGAGGAACTGTTTGGCATCTTTCTCAGAGCCCCTCATCTGCTCCCCCAGTGTGTACCTGAAAGCACCTACGAAATTTAGTGTCCACACTCCATATAACTATACTATGTACATGCAGTAGAGCCGACACTTGCTCTGAAAGGTGATGGGGAGTTGGCTATAGCATGCAATACTCCTATGAACTGAAATAAGCTGTGTGGCCCATCAGATACACATATCTGCCATAAGAGACCCACCTACTACTGCTAACCAGTTTAGCTGACCATTGCCCTAATTCATCCTTTGCCTTTACCTCTGTCCCCACGGTTCAGAGGTCGGGAGCAGACCTAGCACGCATGAAACAGAGATGAAACAGCAGCCTGTATGTCAGCCAACAGCAACATGGATCCTACAGGTCTTCATAAGCAATCTTAATGTTCTTTTTTTTTTTTTAAGTACTTCAGGATTTAATGTTGCCAAACAAAACATGCCAAGAATTTCATTTTGAACTCCTGAAGACTCTCAGCTCCCCTCCCCATTCAGTTCTTCCTTGCAGTTGCTCCTCCCTGGAAGTGGTAGCTTTGCATAATGGAGCCCACCTAGAGCCATCGAGGTGCAGGGAAATAGCCCTCCAGGATCCTATCTTGAAACTCTGTAGCAGGCGGGGGGCTACCTAAAATCTGGCTGAATATCAACATATTTGACTAGGGTCAAATGAGC